GGGGATCCGCGGGCGGCCCTCGCCGGGGGGGCCGCCCGCAGGGAGCTGTTCTGATTTCCGACGCGGACGCGAGGGGCCCGGAGCAGCCCCCGGCTCCGGCGCGCCGCCGACATGGGCAACGCGGGGAGCATGGATTCGCAGCAGACGGATTTCAGGGCGCACAACGTGCCTTAGAAGCTGCCGATGCCCGAGCCAGGTGAACTGGAGGAGCGGTTTGCCATCGTGCTGGTGAGTGCGCGGCAGAAGCCGGGCACGCGGACCCGGGAGCCCCGCGCCGGGCGGCGCTGCTGACCCCCGCCCCTCTTCTACGCCCCGAGCCGGGCGCGAGCTCCGGTCCTAAGGGAGACTCCCACCTTCCCCATTGTGGCCTCCCCTGCCTCACTCCTCTCTGCTCCCTCTGGAGACCTCGCGTTTTCTGTCTTCTCGAGTACCAGGATGGGGCCGGTGGCTCGGGGTGGGCTGCCAGGCCAGTCCCGAACCCATTGTCTGGCGGGAGAGGCACCTCGCCGCGCGTGTGCCGGGGAGGTGCGGCGTGGCTGTGAAGGAAAGGTGGGAAGAGAGGGCCACAAGCTGCCGAGGCTTTTGTGTGTGTGTGTGTGTGTTTGAAAACCTTCGCACTCCGAGCGCCTGCAGACCTCGGGGCGCGCGACCCCTGGCCTGCGGGATTCTCGGCAGATGGGCGCATGTGGCCGGCCGCGGGCGACGCGCGGGGCGGCGGGGAAGGCGAACTTGGAGGGCGGATGTCGTTGCTTGGCTGCGGTGAACACCCCCCAAAGCGAAAGAGAGGACACCCGCAGCGCGGTAGCGTCCCTGTCCCCACAGGAGGAAGGGGGCGTCTGAAACCTAGGCGGGGGAGAAGCGCCCCAGGCGGGTAGAATCTCAGCGCGTTTTCTTTGGTCTTAAATCTTAACCACAAAAATGTGCAGTTTTTCGGGAACGTGTTGCGAGCTGTCCTGACTGCACGGGCGACCCCTCCCTCCCCCTGCACTCCCAGCCAAGTACCCCGTCCCCTCCCACATTCCGCTTTTCCCAGCTTTCCAGCGCCTCACATCCCAGACCCTGGACTCCCTTCAGTCGCCCTTTTCTGCTAGGACCGAGTTTCTGGGCCCCTCCCAGCCGGGGCTGGCCTCCCTGTGAGCTCACGAGGGTGTGGCGCCCCCGCCCCGTCCCAGTCAGGGGTGTACGGCAGTTGGTCCCCAGACTTGGCCGTTTTCGTGTGCCAGCCTCTTATTTTAAGGAATATTGAAAGGGAAGCGGCGAGGTTAGGACCCGTCTTACTCCTCAAACTATTGTAGTAACCCTGTCCTACTGGTCACCCCGAACGCTACAAACTGCAGCAGAACAAACTTGGGGAGGCGGCCAGCGTTTCGTGCCGGCCTGCTGCGGCGTGTACCCAGCAACTTTAAGACCCAGTACTAGGTCAAAATGGACTTTTTGAGGTCTGGACACTTGGACGCCCTTCGGGCCTCCAGAGGGGCTGTTCTGGTGCGGGGAGTCGCATGCCGGTGGCAGGTTAGCTTTGTGCTGTTTGGGAGGCCACAGGCTTTTTCACGCCATATGGAAATGCCGGTGTGCCACTCAGAGAGATGAGGTTGCCCGCCTCACTTTGCATCTTCTGTGATCTCGCACAGCTGCTCCCACCGTTTTGCAAGATGGGACACTGAAATGGATCAGCGTAGGCTTAATTACTTCTCAAGGCAGTCTGGGTGCGTGCTTGACCTGCCTTTCCAGGGACTAACATTTTTCTTCAAAATCCTCTTCCTGCCGCACATGGTTCTTGCTTCCTGGTTCTGGGTTTTCCGTCTCCATCTGTGGCACGGTGGGGCGTATATGTGTCTGAGTGTCTGACCAATTCTGAGTGCTTGTGGTGGAGCCAATGACACGGAAACCAGGCAGCAGCCATAATAATAACAGTAATGCAATTAAATTCTGCTCCACTGGAATAGCATTTTTTGCATGAGCTTTCAGTTACCCTACAGATGAGTACCACATGTGATGAATTCATCTTTAAAAAATAATGTCCCATCATTAGCATGGTGGACTGGCGTTCCTATTAGGGCTAGTACTCTCACACGTAGTGTGTGGACATTATGATTGTACATCACAAGCTCCTTGTGGTGGTGGTGGTGGCTACTTTCACTCCAAGGTGTATCACACACCGTTACTGGATACAGTTCTTTTAAAAACTGTTTACAATAGCCTAAGCTTGTCAAGCAACAAAACCAAAAAATACTGTGTTGATTAGTTTGGAATAGACATGGAGCTTTTGGGAATGTCTTAGCTTGGGGGCTCTCTCGCCAGTTGGGACATTGATATCTTGGTTATTCTCATCAGCTCCACTTGTTGGAAAATCTGTGAGGAGTTAAAAGGAAACAAACCCTCCAGATCATCTCTATGGGCTGGTAGAAGTAGAAAGTGTTGATGCTTTTTCTTGTCATTTTTTTTCTAAATTTGTAAGTGCAACACTCTCAACTTTGCTTTTCTTCATTAATTATTTAAGAAATCAGTTCAGTTCAAGCCATTGAATCCTGAAGGCCAAGTTTTAGGTACAGGTGTGGAGGAATTCTCTACCCTTGGTCAATGGGAATCATGTTGGCATTATTGATACCAGTGTTCTTTTTTGAGAGTTTTTTTTTTTTTTTGCTATAGGGCACGTGCACTTGCCAGAAAGACCGAGAGAGACAGAGAGACAGAAAGCGAGAAATCACCCCCCGGGAGGATGGCCACGCTGCAATCCCTTCTCCATTCTCCTTTCTGGATCTTGGGCACACGTGCACATGCGCCCTGTGTGAGGGTAAGCCTCCAGGTCTGGGATCCGAATCATGGTTGACTACGTGGGAGTCCAGCAACATAGCCATTACACCAACTGCTGGTCCCATACCAGTTTTCTTATATAATAGAGATCACATGTGTTTTGGGAGGAAAACCGGATAGTAATGCTTTAAGAAAAGTACAAGCACCTCATTGTAAGTATGGCTTGCATCTATAATTAATAAGCAGTTTCAGGCTAGGAAAACAAGTCCTCCCAATCTCTAGTTTTAGGATAGTTAAAGCCTTGAGGAGAAGTAAATAAAAATTAAAACAACAGAGTCCACCTTATTTCTTGGCAGGAAAGTCTTAACAGGGAACAACCTTACTCAACAACTGTATCTGTCCCCGTAAATTTATATGGGTTAAACTGTATAAATAAAATCAGTATGAATGGAAAGAAGAGAGGAGAGAGTAAAAGCCTTCTGAATTAAGATTATTGGAGGGGTAAAGGTAGTCTATTTTCATGGGAACAGAATGAATTACTGAACTTCCCATAAGTAATGACAAGTAAAAATGGAATCCAAATCCTAGATATTTAATCCTTTTAAGGAGTCTCTCCCTCTCCCTGAATTTGTCTTCAGCATTATTATAGAAATAATTATAAAGCTTAGATTTAAGGGAAAATCTTACTGACTTAGTGTATACATTGAAGAATTTGTATACTTATACTATTGATACTTTTCAGATAGAGCTTTAAGATCATATGGCTCAGAGCCAGCAGGTGGTGTGGTGGTTAAGGGACTGGATTCCTACATGGCTGACTGAGGTTTGAGTAGCAAACCTAGGGACTTGGAAAATCACATCAAATAAACAGATAAATAGATGTGTGTGTGTTTTAAAGATAACATGGCTGTGTGAGTGTGTGCACATTGGTATATGTTTCTGTTACACTATTAAACATAATCTTATTGTCGGTTTACATACACACACCACACTTGCGACTCCCGTGTCCTTTATTTTCAGAGATGATTCTCTGAAGGTGATTCTTGGTCGGTATGGTGAACAACTGATGGTCTTTGTCCAAGAATACCTTTTTAACATTAGACTCTCCATAATATTCACTAATTTTTGGCTTTCAGTTACTGTTTGCAACCTAAAATAATAAGTCCTCCAGTATCAAGGACCTAAGGGTCCTATCTTTAAACATCAGAAGAAATGATAGTTTTAAGTCCTCTGTCTTAGCTGTTGTATCTCTGCAGTATCAGTTATCAGACAGATTTTAAAGACAGATAAGGAAGTAATTAGGGCAGTATTAGTTTGGGTTTGATACTGGGAACCACATCATTTGAATCAATTTCCTTTTCAGTTGCTCTTCCCATCCCCCTAGTTTGATGTGATTTTGTTTTAGAGGGAGCAAGCACATTTTTTGAGTACCTATTGTGAGCAGGTCCTAGGTTTGCATGTTCCCATTTGAGCCTAAAATAACTCCAACTATCAGCAGCATTATACATGTGTAAATAATGAGTACCTGAATTGCCTAAAGTCATACAGTTACTAAATAACTAACCTGAGATTTTTAACCCAGATTTAGATCACTGTTCTCTAGGACCCTCTGGACTCTCCATCATATTGTGTTTCCCTTAGGCCTAGAACTGGAAGGAAATGAATAATCAAATCAAACAAAAAAGACTGAAGACTAGCAGGAGAAAACTTAATGGGGCTGGACAGTCTGCAGCGGTAAAATTCAACACTGTATGAGCCTGACCTATGTGTGGAAGTTCCGATTTTGTGTCCAGAGACCTCTTTGAGCACATCAGGCTCTTGTGTGCCCATGATCTGGGGCTGGCTGCAGGTGTGCCAAGACCATAGTTGGGGTGTTATATGTCTCTCTGTCTCTCTATCTCACTGATAGAATATACAAACTTAAACTTCTAGGGCCAGCTCTTGGCATGGTGTTTAGTTAGGCTGGATCCCACATAGCCCTTGCACATACTGAGTCCGGGACCTGGCAGCTTGGGAAACACGCCAGGCGTGCGTGCGCACCCCAAATTCTGACAGAAGGGAGAAAATGGAGAAAGAGGGATTGTGGTGTGACCATGTGCCATGCATCTTCTCTTTCACGCTCACCCTCCTGTCTCTTTCTAGCAAGCACACATGCCCTGTGGTAAAAATTAAAACAAAACAAAAAATCCCTTCTAAATCTGCCAAGTGCAAGATTCATACTACAAAATTGGCAGAAATTTCTCTGACTAAAGCGGGGTGCTTTTGATGTTTCTCTTTACTTGTCAAATCTTGGGCATCTTCACTGTGCTCTTCTATTTTCAGGCATGAACTTAAAAATTGATTTGATCCAAAAGTGTATCCTTCAGTTTTTATTTTCAAGGCAGGCTTGAAATACCTTGGTTGGAAAGTTTAAGGTTTCCAAATCAGAGGGAAGAGACAACCTGTCACCGCAGTGTGTACACTCCACATGTAAT